CACCACCACTGGATCCACAAGACTTTCCACCCACCGGCCTGTGATCTTCCTGCATTCAGCATCATTGCACGTGTTGTGTGAGTCTGAAGAGGAATTTATAGATCAGTATCAGGCACATGGGCTAATATCAGACTTATGGGCTTGATCTGGACAGGGCGGGGATGTTTTCTTAATATACAATTACCCTTTATATAAAACACTTTCTTATATACACAAGTCTCTCTGGATTTGTTTCTCTAGTCTCTGGGGACTAACCCATGGAACAAGGCATACACCAATCCAACAGTTTCTATGTGGACAATTCTGTGACGTTGGTGGCATTCCTCGGATTGTCGTCCATCCTCAGCCTCTCTTTCTGAGCCGTTCCTCCCACGGTCACATAAACTCACCACCCCTAAGGTTCCTATCTCACGTTCCAAGCCGCTGCTGTCACACTGGTCCTGTAGAGAGCTCTTTAACGTGGCTCAAGGCACCCAGCAAATCACCCTCACTACCTAAGCTAAACTAGTGTCTGCTCTAAAGATGGCTTCTGGGGGCCTTTCTGGTTTAAGGTTTAAAGATCATCTCGGGAAATAATTACAGGGGTTCATCCACCCACCATGGTTCCAGAGAATATGAGGGGTATTCCCCAAACCAGACAAAAGCTCCATTGGGCACCCCCACCCCCCACTTGGGGAGTGAGCAACGTGCTCTGAGTTAGTGCACCCAGTGGCCTGGCCTGGGAAGGCTCTCTCTCCTGGTTACAGTGATTGTTTTTCAAACATTTTTTCATAAAAGCATCTTTTTGGGGGATGACTGATTTAGGAGAACAACATGCAGCTCTGAAATTCTGTTTCCTGCGCATGAAAAATGCCGCAGAAACTGTTGTGATGTTGGACACAGCTCACAAGGACAGCGCTATGGGAAAAACTTGAGTGTTCAAGTGGTTTTCTCGTTTCAAAAAAAAGGGAAATGTTGATAGATGACAAACCTTGTTCTGGATATGTGCCCGCTTCCTGCATGGACGGAAATGTTGGCTCGTACTGCATTTGGAGTTCATTCCACCAGGTTAGACTGTGAATCAAGCTTTTTATTTAGAGGTTCTGAAAAGATAGAATAACACTGCAACAAAAAAGGTCTGATTTGTGGCAGATGGGGCACTGGTTTTGCCACCATGACAATGCACCTGCTCACACAGCCATCTCAGTGTGCCAGTTTGGGGCAAAAAACAGCATGGCTCTCTTGCCCCACACACCTGACTCCCCTGACCTTGCTCCATGCAACTTCTTTTTGTTTCTGTGAATGAAGAGGGGCATGAAAGAACAGAGATTTGATGATGTAGAAGAGGTGAGGTGAAGAAAAAAATCGAGGGAGGTACTATCAGCCATCCAGAGGTGCATTTGAAAAATGTTTCCAAGAAAGGAATAGGAGATATGACAAATGTATTAAGTGTAATGGAGAGTACTTTGAAGGTGATAAGGTTGTTTTATTAAAAAAAATTAATAGCTTTGAAAAGAAAATTCCATGTCTTTTGGGGGGTACTCCCTGGTATGAAATTCTGTTCTGAATTTTCTCTCTTCTTTGGAATATTTGATGTGAGATATAAAAAGACTTTTCCCAGCTTTGTCTCTCCCAAAGATATGCCAAACATTAGAGGCTGTTTGTTAGCACATGGTGGGAGGTCAGATGCATAAGAGATATTCTCCCTGAAGGCATTCAGCCATCAGTCTGGTCCACTGTAGGTGGGGCTCACACCCTACTGATAAGTATTGTAATTGTTTCCATGGAGATCCAGAGAACAGGTCAAACCTGCTCAGTGACATCCAAAGTTAGGCTGCCATCCTGCACCTGGGATCCGCCTACCTTGTCACATGTGTACCCCAATCTCTCCCCTTCCTATTGCGTGTATGCCCCTATATTGTCCCCCTCTCATTACTGTATTACCTATAATATAACCCCTTCCTGTGACGTATGTCTTTACCTGTAATCAGGGGGCTTGCACACCACAAAGGTATTTAAGCCTTGGTTAGAAATAAATTGCTCTCTCTCTCCTGGCCTCTTCCCCCCCCCCCCTTGCTCCCCTTGTCCTCCTTCCCCTCCCTCTCTCTCCTGCCCTGTACCACCAAGAGGGGCTGAGGTGAGCATGCTACCATGAGATGTGTCTGACTCTTTATTTGACTCTCTCTCCTATCACTCTTACTCTCTATGACTTTGTTATAATCTTCATATATCTCAACAGTACAATTGCGCTTACTGAATCCATGATCAGTTGGGGAGGGGTGTCTGGATCCCCCCACAGTTTGACCCACCCTTTTTGCAATGGTCACTGGGCACCGTCTAGTTCTGGTCTCCAGGCGGCAGAGGAGGCAGTTGCTCAAGGAGGCGCACATCCCACATCCTTCTCTTATCGCTGACTTCTCTTCTGCCTTGATTGCACCAGGCAGATGGAGACCAATGATTATGCCTGGACTGGTTGCTCGAAAGCTTTTAAGACTCAGGTGCGACACAGAGAATTATAGGTAGAGCAGAGCACTAAACCTATTACGTACTCCAATGAATTGGTTTGTCTCCCCATGAAGCCCTGACTAAACCGCCCAACCCAGGAGCCAGAGTCCAGGAGGAGTTTGGCTGTACACTGCAGTGCAGCCTCCACAGCCACGCTTTCTCTTGGCCATCTTAAATGCCTCTCTCACGGGACCATTGCCAGTTCGACTTTTTGACGGATGTGCAACCATTGACCGGGCAACCCTGCCCTTCATCAATGCCATTTTGGTCCCTACCGTGTTAGCCAACAGCCCACTGCTAACGATTTTGGGATTCTAAACCCCATGCCTCTCTCTCATTTGCAGAATGTTTACAAGGGACCTGGTGCCAAGACATTGTTCCCAGGTGCTTGGACCCCTTACTCACACAGGGGATGGGAAAAAGGCTCCGGGGGAGGAGGGCAGAGGGCTGCGGGGGGAGTGTGGCTTGGGAAGTTGTTTTGTAAGTGTGGCTTGGGAGATTGTCAGGTTGGAGTGCAGTACCTGTAAACCCAGGCCGCCACGGGGACAGGGCGGGGCTTCTCAGAGAGCTCAGAGATGTGCGGTCACAAGAACAAGAAGCAGCCTGGGCCGTAGGAAGCTCAGTGGCCAGATGACTAGCGATCTGATTCTGGCCCTGAGAACCTGGAGGGGGAGTGGGCAAGACCCGGGGCACATCCGCCTGCTTGACAGGCCTCCCGGAGGATCCAGGTGCCTTGACAGGGAGAGGCTGGAGATGGTCTCCTGGTGGGTGCCCAGAGGCAAACGGAGTCTTGAGGGACACTGGGAAGAGACAGCAGGGGGAAAGGGTGGGTATCCAGATGAGACTGCCCTGGTGGCCTGGATTTGAATGCTGTACTCAGACACAGACAGGTCTGGAAGGTGAGCGAGGCCCACGCTCAGAGCAGCCCACCGCCAGAGACCCAAAGGGCAGCACTTACCCAACGACAGAGTTCAGAAGGCCAGGAAAGGCAGCCCGGAAGCAGGGGACACAGGGAAGAAGAGGGCTAAGCTAGATTACACTGTGGTGACTCCCATCTGTGATAAAACGTGTGCGGCTTGCCCGGTGGGAAAATGGATCTGTGCTGGAAACCTTCACCCAGATCACAAGGAAAAGTCACACGAGAAAGGGGTGACATGAGACCCCCCACCCCCCTTTGCCCATCTGAGAGGCCTAGGCAGAGAGAGATATGCTGCCCGGGAGCCCAGCGCCCACGGCGTGCGAGTGGAGCCGAAGCCTGGGCTCCCCGCTCCACCATCATCCCTCCTGCTTCCTGTGCACTGGGAGGAGCCCTGGGGGAGGAGGGGCTGCTCTACCTTGACATTGGGGTTTGGATGATTTCATGGGTGTGTGCTGAAGGGGCTCGCTTCCAGTGGGTGAGCGAGAGGATGGAGCTGCTGATGTGGGGTTCCGTCCTCAGCTGACCCTGGGGAAGCAGAGGCTGGGGCGGGGACTGGATGGCTGGGGAGCTCTAGAGAGGCCCAGAGCCAGAAGCTGGGTGTGCTGGCCTAGGCTTCCGTGCAGAGAAAGAGATCAGAGATTGTTCTTCAGAGCCGTGGGAGGGGAGAAAGTTCTATGGAAAAGAAGGGCCCTGGGCCTAGAAAACGGGAACGTTTAGTCAAGCCTGTACAGAGATCCCGGCCCGCTACAACGTAGGGACACTCACAACGAGGCCACAGAAGGCCCCGCCGAATCCAGGAGGGTCCTGCTGGCTTGGCAGGCCTTTCAGTGGGATGGTGGTGGGAACAGGAAGTTGCTATGGACTGGAGTGAAGGCGGGGGGCCGGGAGGTGGGTGCAGGGAAACAAACCAAGAGGGTCAGGGGTTTCAAGTCCAAGAACGGCCATGGCTCGTGATCCAGGGGCTGTTGGTTGGGCTGCGATTGCAAGGTCAGCAGTTTGAAACCCCCAGATTCCTGCCCCCCTCCAGGCTTTCGACTCCTGTGGAGAGTTACAGCCTCGGAACCTCGCAGGGGCAGGGCTACCCTGGGCCTGGAGGGGGGCATTGACTCCTGGCACGGAGCTTGGTTTGCGTGTTTTACCCCTAGTGCCGGTGCCCCAGTGTGGTCCTCCTTCCTCCCTGGGGCCCACGCTGGAGAACGATGGGCAGCATCCCATTGATCTCTTGTGGGCGAACGGGTACTTACGGTGGGTGGGCAGCCGGCTCGGCCACACCCCACCTTTTCTGGAAGTGGCCAAGCTCCCAGCATTCTCCCGGGACACCCACCCACCCGGTTGCACGGTGGTGGGAGCCACATTGCCTGGCCGTGCCCCAGCCACCACCTCCTCCAGCCCCTCTCGGGCTCCGTGGGCCTCTGCCAGGGTGCCTGGGGAGGTCTCCGCACAAGAACCGAGCCCAGACAAGGTCACGTGAGCCGTTTATTAGTTTGTTTTAAAAATATGTCTTTCATCGATACATGAAGTTTGGTGAGAAGTGCTCAGTTCGGGCAGTTGACAACTGGCCTTGGATGCCTGTCCCTCCCCCCTCCCCGCCCCACCCTCCTGCTGCTCAGTGGTCAGTCCCAGAAAAGGGAAAAAGTGAGAGCCACGCTTCCAGCTAAGGAGTTGGGCCTGCTTGCCCCCTGCCCTCGGTCACACCGTCCATCAGCTGCTGTCGCGGGCTCCCTGGCTGGCCACACACAAAGCCAAAGGCTCCTTCCGGCCAGCAGGACATGCAGCCCGGCCTGCCTCCCAGTGTGGCCGGGGATGGGCACAGCCTGCCCCAAGGCCCCCCGAGCTGAGCACAGAGATGTATAAAAATAAGATTTTCTTCACTTGCAGGAGTGAGCTGGGATGGTTAAAACGCAGTCCCACGCTGGACTCTGGGGGGCAGGGGGTTGGGAGGGAGGGAGAACTGGGTGGCCATGGTGGGGCCGGGGCGGGGCACCAAGGTGAATGGGGAGGACAGGAAGGGACATAATACTTGGCTCGCCGGCGGTGCCCCTTCCAGCAGTGCCCCAAGCCTCACAAGCAGACGGCGAGGTAGGTTAGAGGAGCCGATGTCCGGCGCCCCCGGGCTGCCCACTCGGAGCGGGCACGTGAGGCTGGCGGGGCCTGTGCGGTGGGCGTCCGTGGGAAAGGGGCTCTGCTGCAGAGCTGGGGCCACCAGCCCACCCTGCCACCACTCTCCCAGGGCGACAGTTATTTACATGAGAAGATTTGCATATGCTAAATAGGATTGTCAGCAGCTGAAGAGGCCCCGAGGCGGGGAATTAGACTAGAAAAAGTATTTTTTCTCCCTGGGGAAAAAAAAAAAGCCTTCCCATAAGACCTACTGGGCAGCAGGGACTCTGCCCCTTCCTGCCTGTGGACCCTGGTTGACATGGAAGCGGGGCTGGCCCTCACCGCTGCCTCGCCCAATGGGCTCAGGGTTCCCTATCTTCCGGGGCAGGGACAAGGCCCCATCCCCATGCTAATGCCTCTAGAGGGGGCAGGGGCCATGCAGGTCCCTCCCCACAGGGTCAGAGGCAGAAGGGCCTGGGGGTGATAGCAGCTGCTTCTTCCAGCCCCAAGCCATGTGGTTCCACCAGGTGGGGCCCAGGATCGAGGAGCCTCCTTGCAGCCCTGAGCCCTTCGGTTTGAATGGTACCACTCAGCGGGAGGCGGCCATAGGGCCTGGGTGCGGCCAGGGACCCTTCTCTTCTAGAAGGGTCTACCTCACAGGACAAAAGCAGGATGTCAGGGACCATGGCAAGTGAGTGTGGGCCCCACAGACAAAACTCTGTCCATGGGGCCAGGAGGAAGGGCTCGTCTGCCTCAGGCAGGGGCACAGGGGGCTGCCTGGCATAGCCTGGCGTGTGTGTGTGTGTGTGTGTGTGTGTGTGTGTGTGTGTGTGTGTGTGTGTGTGATGAGTGTGCACATGCGTGTGAGTGAGGGCGTCCAGGCAGTGAACGGCCTGTGAGATTCCCTGCGTCCGAGGGCAGAGTTCTGGGAGTTCGGGAAACACATGTGTTCAGGGTTACCCAGGAGGCAGTGTGACTTGTTGCCCATGTCCACGGGGGTGGGGTGGGGTGGGAGGGTAGTTGGGAGCGGAAAAAAAGGAGTTAGTTCTGTGCTCCAGTAAAAAAATATCAAATATAATAAATTTACAAAAGCCCGTTCATGACAGAAACAGGCCCAGTGTGGGGTCCGGCCTTGGCAGCTGGGGTATCGCTGCTTGTCAGAGCCCCCGGGCGCTGGCAGAGGGGGCAGGCCACTGGTCTGTGTGGACGCTCGGGGCCAGGACACCCCCACCCCCGCCCCTGGGGGGCAGTCAGCTTTGCCAACCCCACAGGCAGTGGACGCTGCGGCCACTCGCTGGCTCTGCCGTGGGAAGCCACGGGGCGAGCCCCCTCTCTCAGCCCGGGGGGCAGGGGGGTCCCCGCGGACGCTGGCCTGTGACTGCGTCCAGGTTTGTCTCCAAGGGGTCCGGGGCTCACACGATGGACTCTCGGTCCCTGTCTGGCGACGTGGGGAAGTCCGCCAGGTCCTCGCTGCGGCTGTAGTCAGACGCGCGCACCTGGAGGTTGTCGCTGGTGGCCCGGGTCACGCTGTCGTAGGAGGGCGGGGAGGACGTGGACGAGACGGAGGAGCTGGACGGTTGGTCCCGGCGCCGGGAGAAGTTCTCGTTCATCATGTAGGCGATGAGGCCCTCTCGCTCGGGGGCGTCCTCGTCCGAGAGGCTGCTGCTGCCCGTCTGCTGCCGGAAGAGAAAGGAGGCGTGCTTCACAGAGCGCTGCAGGAGGTGTCGCCGGAAGGCCCGCTGGATGACAGTGGCCGACACCTCCTCGTGCTTGCGCCGCAGGGTGGTGGTGATGGGCTCGTAGGAGATCTTGGACGGGTTGGCGGCCATGAACTTCTCCTCCATCTGGATCTTCAGGGCGTCCATCTCCCCGGACTCCCCCAAGACCCTCTTGGTGAAGGCGAAGAGGATGTCCATGCAGTGGATTCGGTCCCCGCTCACCACGGGCAGGTCCATGTTGATGAGGCTGATCTGGTTGGGCTTGGCGATTCGGAGGGGCTCCGCCAGGGCGTCGGCAAAGTCGGAGAGGGCCGCGTACTCGATGAACTGGGTGGCCTCGGGGTCGAACTTCTCCCAGGTCTCGTAGAACATGTCGAAGTCGTCCTCGCTCAGGGGCTCGGTGCTCTCCTCCGTGGCCACGCTGAAGTTCTCCAGGATGATGGCGATGTACATGTTGACCACGATGAGGAAGGAGATGATGATGTATGTGGTGAAGAAGAGGATGCCCACCGCCGGGCTCCCACAGTTCCCCCGGGAGCCGTTGCTGTTGGGCAGGTTGGGGTCGCAGTAGGGGGGCCCCGTGTTGAGGATGGGGCTGAGCAGGCCGTCCCAGCCCGCCGACGTGGTGATCTGGAAGAGGCACAGCATGCTGTTGGCGAAGGTCTGGAAGTTGAACATGTCGTCGATGCCCGCCTCCCACTTGACGTAGGGGAAGTTGGCCATGCCGAAGATGGAGTAGATGAACATGACGAGGAAGAGGAGCAGGCCGATGTTGAAGAGCGCCGGCAGGGACATCATGAGGGCGAAGAGCAGCGTCCGGATCCCCTTGGCCGCTCGGATCAGCCTGAGGATGCGGCCGATGCGGGCCAAGCGGATGACCCGGAAGAGCGTGGGTGAGAAGAAGTACTTCTGGATGATGTCCGAGAGCACGGTGCCTACGGGGAAGAAGGACAGAGACCGTGGCCTTGGGCAGGAACACCCTTGCTCTGCACTGGCACCCTTGAGGTCTGTATGGGAGAGAAGCCTTCTTCTTCAGAAAGCTGGGCCAACCCGGGCAATTAGGACCCTGCCTCTCACCATGCCGCATCTGCATCTGTGATCCAGAAGATGGGGCCCACGCATGCACAGCCTTTCTGAGACACCTTCTCAGCCACTCAGCCTTTCAACGATCACTGTGCCACAGGGCAGTAGCAGCCCTGCCTTCCACGTAGTAGATTTGGGGGCCTGAGCAGCACTTCGGTGATCCGGCTTAGACCAGAACTCAGCCCTCCTACCTCCCAGCTTCTTGAAGGTGGGCGCTTGGGTGCTTGCTAGACAGGCAGCATCTCAGCTCTACCCCCTGACCCACTTGGCTTTAGCTGGCCCGGGTACGTCGGGTGTACGGTGAAGCCTCACGTGGTGGGCCTCCTGACACCTCAAGGGTCCCATCCTGCTGCTGACGTCCTGCGTTCTCCAAAGCCTCTCTCCAGTCCCCACCACCAGTCGTGTCCTCGCTCACTCTCTCCCACCGGGAACCTCCCAGAACATTTCCCAGCCTGACTGTAGTGACAGCGGCCCCTGCGTCTATGAGCTGAGTGAAGGTAAGCAAGGCACTGGGCAGACGGATGAAAGTAATCAAAGTGTCCCCAACGCAGAGGCACTCAAAGTTTGGGCACCGGTACAAGTAGCAACAATAACAACAATTTAAAAAAAAGTGTGCTTCGATGGACACTGTCCAGGAAGTGAACAGGCCGCAGACAGAATGGGAGATGAGATTTGTGAATCACCCGATACGTCTGATAAGGAACTGGCGTTCTTAATATATGTCAAACTCTCACAATTCACCCAGAACGGCAAATAACTCAAAAATAGGCAAGGAATTTGAATAGACCTTTCCCCAACAAGATAGACAATGGGCATGAAGCACACGAGGAGATAGTATCACCGTGCATCACAGAAACGGATGGGTAAACCGCAATGAGATAACACTCCACACCTACCCAACCATTGCCAACCTGACAACTCTGGCTCATAGCAGCCCTGTAGGACGGAGAGGGACTGTCCCACAGGCTTTCCAAGACTAGAGGTCTCCACAGATGGGCCGGGAGTGGTGGGGCACTAGAGCTGATTTTGATGACGTAAATACACTCTTTATAGAAGCAGCTTGACTATGGAAGTGTATGTATGATATGTGACTATTTTATCAATAAAACGACTTAAAAAACAAAACAAAAAAGAAACCCAACCTGACCGATGGTGCCCCTGGGTGAAGGAGGAAGAGTTTTTGCCGAGGGGCATTGAGTCCATTTTCATGGTGGTGGAACAATCTGGAGAGGGCTATCGATCATGGTTGTACAGCACAAAGAGTATCCTCAATGGCACTGAATTACACACGTTTGTTGAGTTGGTGAATGTTTGTTGTGTATGTTTTTGCCAAAAAAAAAAAAAAAATACATGTAATTAACAGAATCCATGGTGTTACAAAAAGAAATGGAAAACTCACTGCCATCAAGTTGATTTGACTCATCTGATGTGTGTATGGGTTGTGATAAGAGTTGTATGAGCCCCTATTTTTGCCAAAAAAAAAAAAAAAAAGAATGACAGGCCTAACAATGAGTATGGGGGAAAAAGAAAATGTTGCAAACACTGATGTTGGCTAAGATCGTACAACTTCTTCTTGATATGGTTGGACCATTCGATTGTATGATATGTGGATGAAGTGCCCATAAAACTGTTTTAAAACAATAAAAACGTCTTTATGGAAGCAGACGGCCACACTTTCCTCCCACGGTGTAGCTGCAGGGCTTGAACTGCTGGCCGCTGAGTGCTGAACCGCTGTGCCACTAGGATTCCTTGATGGAAAGGTCCAAATATTTTGGTAAACAATTGGACCAGTGCCTCCAAGGTGTAGGTGAGTGGGTGCCAGGCCTTGGGAGAGGAGACCAATGGGGGTGGTGGCCGTCAATGGGCACAGGGGGTTCTTGTGGGGTGATGAAAATGTTCTAAGATTAGACAGGGCTAATGCACCACGCTGTGAATAGAATAAAGACCAGGGAACTGTCCACACTGCAGGGCGATGCTTGTGGTATGTGAATTATCTCACAAGACCTCTGTGACAGAACAAAGCTTGGTCTCTGAGGTCAAGCAGACGTGGGTCTCCGTCCCCTCTACTGCTCCCTAGCAACGGTCAGCCTCTGGATGGACTTTGTAAGGTGAATGGCGTAAGGCCTAGGATGTCTTAGGCAGCCTGGCTCTCATCTTGGTGGCTAGCCTCCAGACTCTTCTGGGTATTTCTCTCAGCCCGAGGGAGCCTCTTCCTCCTTCAACCCAGGGTTCAGGCTTTCCCTTGGGAGGGCAGGAGAGCCTTGACCCTCTTCCCGGTTGGCCCCCTGGGCTTGAGTGGACTTGTAAGAGCAGTTCTCTCTGGAGGCCTCTCCCTCTCTCACTTTCTCTGTGTGTGTGTGGGAGAGAGGGCGGGAGCTAACTCGAGAAATAGAGCGAGATTGGGATTGGGTTTGTTGGAAAAGATAGGGGGAGTGCGGAGTGGAGATCCAAAGCCCATTAGTAGGCCACTGGAGATCCCCTTGCAGAGGGGTCTCGGGGAGGAGACGAGCCAGTCAGGGTGCGATGTAACAACGATGAAAAATACAACTTTCCTCTAGTTCCTAAATGTTTCCTCCCCGCTCCCACTACCATGACTCGAATTCGACCTTGCAAGTCAGGCTAGACCAGAGGAGGTACACTGGTATAGATAAGAACTGAAAATCCAGGGAATCCAGGGCGGATGAGCCCTACAGGACCAGTGGTGTGAGTGGCGAAACAGGGAGGGTAAAGGGAGAATGGGTAGGAAAGAGGGAACCGATTACAAGGAACTATATGTGACCTCCTCCCTGGGGGACAGACAACCGAAAAGTGGGTGAAGGGAGACGTCGGACTGGGGAAGATATGACAAAATACCAATTTATAAACTATCAAGGGCTCATGAGGGAGAGGGGAGCGGGGAGGGAGGGGAAAAATGAGGACCTAATGTCGGGGGTTTAAGTGGAGAGAAAATGTTTTGAGCATGATGTACAAATGCGCTTTACACAATTGATGTGTGTATGGATTGCGATAACAGTTGTATGAGCCCCTAATAAAATGTTTAAAAAAATAAAAATAAAAATAAAGATCACAGTAAGAAAAAAAAAAAAAAAGATCCAAGGAGCCTAATCTATTTGGCATTCACTGTGCCCTGTCCCAGAACCGGGGGCTGGAAGGAAGCCTGCACGGAGCAGGGGGCCTCCCGTCCAGCCAACGGCACACCTACCCACGATGGAGAGGATGACAACCACAAAGTCGAAGATGTTCCAGCTGTTGGTGAAGTAGTAGTGGCGCAGGGCAGCCATCTTCACGATGCACTCGCCCGTGAAGATGCCCACAAAGAGCAGGTTGATCTTGGCCAGGATGTTGATCTTCTCCGGGCTCTGGTCATCGGTCTCCACCATCATGGTCACCATGTTCAGGCAGATCAGAAACATGATGGTGACGTCAAAGGCCTGCTTGGTCACGATGTCGAATATGAAGCCTTGATACTTGTTCTGAAAGGAGGGGCACACGGGGTGGGCTCAGCAGGGGACACTGGCCAGCCAGCAAACCCTTGCTGTTATCTCTCAACCCCACTGCCGACTCTCCTCTCTGGGGGTGTCCGCAATCCGCCAGCCAGGCCGCTCCTGGGAGTGACCCAGAGGACACGGAGCGGAGCGGAAACAGCCTGGCCGTCCTGTCTTCGCGGCCTGGACCCCTGGTGCACCCTTTCACACCCTTCTTGAGGCTTTCGGGAAAGAAGGGGTTTCCCTTCCCCTGAGCTTTCTTCCCACACTGGGCTTCTGCTCCCAATGCTTCGAATGTAAGGTTCAATCTAGTAGTTATATCAGCTCTTGGTTTTAATGGGTTCCCCCTGCCCTCCTCAAAAACGAATGCACTATTTATCCCATCCCTATATTTGATGGGTCCTTCCATTGTAAGCAGGCTCACACGGTGGCTCAGTGGTTAAAGTGCTTCCTGGCGGACGGAAGATGGCGGGTCACAGTCTGCGTCTGTAAAGAATCACAGCACCAGGCTGGCCCTGCCCCTTCTGGGCTTGGAAACCCTATGGGGTTACTCTGCCCTGTCTTACTGGGTCCCTGTGAGTCCGAATCAACTCAACAGCAGAATCAACTCAACACACACACACAGAGAAAGAGAGAGCGAGAGTGCGAGAGAGCGAGAGAGCGCTAACCTGGAATAGAGCCTGGTAAACAGGAAGGAATCAGATGAAACCAACCAGTTTGGAAAATTGAGACTGCCACTTCCTATCAGGTAATTTAGGCTAGATCACATCTAAGTTAGGTCATTTTTCGTTATCCCCACCCCACCAAAATACTGCGCGCACACACACACACACACACACACACACACTCTCTTTCTTGGTGGACAATGGATCTGTCCTGCCCTGCCCACTGGGCACTCTGGGACACAGTGGTCTGCTCACAGGGCTGCATACACAAGGCTGCCACACGTGGCTGGGGTGCAATGGATGCCCTGCTCTCCGCTCTCTAGGCAGATGGGTGCCTGCATGTGGGGAGCACCCCTGGGCTTCACCACCTTCCCATGGCTCCCTTTGTAGCTCCATAAGACCCAGGCCGCCATGCGGCTGGTCACCCAGGAGCCCTCCTTCCCACGCTTGTTGTGTGGCACCAGGCCTCCCCCAGGTCCTGGATCAGATCCTCCCCAGGCTGTAATCAGGTGACTGGCTTACCATGGACCGTGGGGTGGGCTTCCACAGCAAGGCGCAGGCACAGGCTGGGAGGTGGGATTCATGGCCTTGTTCGGCTCGAAGGAAGAGCTGAAACTCACCAGGGGCCGTGGGATGGGCTTCTGGGGCTTCTTGGAGCCCAACTTCTTCATCGCGTTGTAGTACTTCTTCTGCTCCTCCGTCATGAAGATGTCCTGGCCACCTAAGTGCAGAGAGACAAGCGCCACTTCACTGTGGGGTCCTCAGAGGCCCCGGCATGGAGGGCACAGGGTGGTCCCTTCCTGATGAGAGCACAAGGGGGCCTCCCTCCTGAGTTCCTCTCCTGGTGGGAGAAAGCATGTTCTGATCTTGTCTGAGGGATTCCTCCCTCCCCAGACCTGCTTCTCTGCAGCATCCTCTCTCCTCCCTCTTCACCCTGAAGTCTCTCTGGCTTAGTGACCTGGAAGTCCAGTTCCTCAGCCCCCTGTCCACCTCAGCGAGCCTCAGGTTTTCTCTCCCCACTCTGTTGTCTGCAACCCAGTAGCCACTCGATGGAGCTCTGGCCAGACCCTGGGCCTCTTGACCTTGCATCTTTCTCTGCACAGGTTCCACCCATGCGCTCTGATCCGGGAGCAAGTGACTAGTCTCCGCTCCCACTCCTGCTTCTCTGAGGAGCCTTGCCTTTCAGGGAGAGTCGGGCAGGTGTGGGGCGTCCCAGCAGAGCCCCTTGTTACAGCCTCAGGGACTCGGATGAGTGATAGGCAGGGAGGTACCCATCTCCCCACCCCCATTTCAGCAGAAACAGGGTGAGGACTGAAGGAGAGATGGGGCCTGAGGCCAACATGGTTCCCTGCCCTGCCCAGGTGAGAAGCCTGCTCTCTACGTATCTTTTTCTTCTGCTGGTTGAAGTTGTCAATGATCACACCAATGAAGAGGTTCAGGGTGAAGAACGATCCGAAGATGATGAAGATGACAAAGTAGATATACATATAGAGGTTGTACTCCCACTGGGGCTGCTCTTCATACTGCAGGAGGAGAAATCAGGCAGCGGATCAGGGTCGGACAGGCTGGGGTCTCGGGGATGGGAGGGGAGCAAGAGAGTAGGTGTATTCTGGGGGACCGGACAGGCAGAGGGGGTGGAGGCAATAGGGGGTGGAGGCAATAGGC